TTAGAAATTACTCTAATTAGGACTAAAACTTAAATAAAATGCACAAATAAGACTACATGTATTTTATTCTCGAAATAAGGCTTATATCATCCCATTAAAAGTATACAACTTCCTTTATTAGAAGTCAATAAGTCTTATTTTTATGAAAAAGAAAATGATAGTCCTATAAGTGCATTTTGTTTATGTTTTAGTCATATATAAGGAATTTTCTCAAAGCTTATATCATAGTCACTATATTATACGAAGTAGTAACTTTGGACACAGTTATACTCAACAAAAGTCACTAAGTCACATTTTTGTCCATCACTTTTTCAGTCGTCATATTGGTGAATTTTTTTCTAAAAAATGTTTATCAGAATTAAACAGCTCCCAAATTGAAATTTTACATTCAAATAATTATTCATAAATTTTGAAGGAAATTTACATCACAAATTGAAATAGCCCCCAAAGTGAATAAGAAGCTTAACAATTTGTTCATTTACATAAAATCAGCCCTTTTATGAGGGAGACTAATACTGAATTAATTTCAGTTTTAGACCAGGCCAAATTAAAAAAAAAGTTAGACTTTAATAGACTATACCATATCATATTAGACCACACTTTAATGGGTTATACCAGATCAGATCAGACTTTGACATTTGTAAAATACACAGAGACAAGACATTTACTAGATCACACCAAACCAATATATTCAAGACCGGAACAGACCAGACATAAACAAACTAGAAAATTTCAGTCCAAGTAAATACATACTACGTACCAAATAGAACATAGATTTGTTCATTTAAAATTGTATTATAAATCAATGATGTGTTAATCTCTCATTGGTTAATAAAAATGTCACTACTACTAAAGCATTTAATTAAGAGTCTGTTTGGTGAAACTGAAATTAGTTGAGTCGGCTGATTCTACTGAAATTTATAAAGTTCTGGCTAAAGTGACTGTCCGGTTGGATTAGTTGATTTTCCTGAGTTATGAAAAAATTATTTTTAAAATTTATTTTTATTAATGTACTACGTAATAAAGAAATAAAAAATATGAAAAATAGCTAAAATAGTTCTTTGGATTAACTTCAACCAGTTCAGTCAAAAAAGTAGCTTCAACTTTACTGATTTTAATTAGAAAAAAATCCATTTTTGGTCCCATGACTATTATGTCACTTCCACATTTTTGCTCTGACTTTCAATTTAACCACATTTAGTCTGTGACCTTTTCCCCTTCACCATGCGTCGTCCTTCCGACCACAGCTCCGGTACATTTTGACCGGAAAGTCATTTACGGAGAAATATTAGGTCAAAATGTTAAAGTTAAGTTATCAAAATGTACGCATTAAGTCAAGTTAAACGAGTGGGATTTGGCTGCTGCGTTAGGGATCATATGGGGAGATTTTCCAGGGCCCGAACTTCATGGATGCGAGCGGAAATGAGTCCAGCTGAGGCAGAAGCTTGGAGCTTGAGGGAAGCTCTTAAATGGATGCAGGAGACTGAGTATACAAGAGTTATTTTCGAGTCTGATTGCAAGCAGTTGGTGGATGATATTTACAACGCACACAAGGATCGATCTGAATATGGATCTCTAGTACATGATTGTAGGAATATTGTTGGGTCTAATAACGATTTCTGTGTCGTTTTTGCTAGGCGACAAGCTAATAGTAGTGCTCATGCTCTTGCTAGAGCATCTACTAGTTATGCTTCTTGCACAATTTTTTTATCTGTTCCTTATTGTATTGAGAACATTGTGATTGATGAAATGAATTAAGCCTTTTGCGTCAAAAAAAAAAGTCAAGTTAATTTAGAAGGTAGCCATTTTAACAACATACATTTACTAATATGCCCCTAATATTTCTCCGTAAATGGCTTTCCGCTTAAAATGTGTCAGAGTTGTGGTTGGAAGGATGATGGGTGGTGAAGGGCAAAATATCACAGATTAAATGTGTTTAAATTGAAAGTCAAGGGGAAAATGTGGAAGTGGCCTAATACTCATGGGATCAAAAGTGGAATTTTTCTTTTAATTATTACAAAACTAAACTCGCAAATTCACAAGTTATATGTTGGGTAAAAACGTTTGCTGATAAGACGGATAAGCTTGCAAACAAGATCACCAATCAAACTCCAAGACATCTATTAATTTATAAAGTGAATATAATGGTGATGATGATGATGATGATGTACCCCCTTCATTACAAATTTTCTTGCAAAAAGGTTTACAAGGTAGATTGAATACAAAATTAGTCTATTTCGAATTGGACTGATTAAATAGACCAGTCCAAATCAGATCACTTCAGAGGTAAATAGATCAAATCAGACCAGACAAAATTTCAACCGTTTGTAATTACAAATAGACAGAATCTATAATAGTCAAATATAATTAATAAGACTTCAAACTTTTGATCATATCATATAAGTTAAATTGTTCCCATTTTTCCCACAATTAAATAGTTCACAATATTTATTGATATTTATGAGCTGAACTTATATCAAATTAACACTACCGGGGCATACCCCGGGTGCTACACTAGTGTTTAGGGAAACTTTAGTTCTACCTTACAATTTCTAAAACCCAAACCGTTAACATCTTTCGGCCGGGCCAGGATTGATTTTCAGATTTCGGCTTGATTTCTCCCTTCTGATCTATTTCCTCTCATTCTCTGCAGGGTTTAGGGATCAAGGTTATCGTCCGCTCGTTATCATTAACTTACTTGGTTCACTATCAAAGTTTTTAGTTCTAAAAGAAACATTTGTTTGCTCCTGAATCACTCGTATCCATTTAATAATTCCATATAAATATGTGTACTTTACTACCTTGGAAATAATACCGAGTATGAAATACTTTTCATCCCGCAAAATTCTTCGCTATTTGATTTAGATAGGAATTTAAGAAAGTGAGAATAAAGTAAAAATGTATGATTGTGTTTGAGTAAGAAAAAAGTAAATGAATAATAGTCGCACAAAAATTTTCAAAAAGGGAAATGTGAAAAAAATTGGGACTTTCCAAAAAAATAAGTGGGAATAATTTTAAAGAACGGAATGAGTAATACTTACTAATTCGATGGAAAAGAGAGAGAGATGAGGTTGAAAGGGAGTCAAGGAAGGTTGTACCATGGCCGCAAGGCTTTGGACGAAGAAGCAAAACAAGCTGAAAAGGATAAAAACAAGCCACCAAATTTGAGAGAACACCTACCCTAATCACCAGATCCAAATTTTGATCTGAATTCTAGCTTTTGAACCATCCAAACTTGTTTTTTTAGAACAACCCATATATTTCTATTCCATCACTTGCAATGGAATCAAATATTTATCATTTTTAACTTGGAAATATGATGAAATAACGTAAAATGACTCACTAAACTGACTGTGTTTTAGTGCAGGGATAAGCCACGTAAGCCATATATTTAATCTTACAAAACTTTAGTTGGGAGCCTTTGCCGCAATGGAGTAAGGATAATGATGAACGCCTTCTGAAACTTTGAGTATACCTTCCGAAACTTAAGTTGGATTGGCCAGAATAATGTTCCCGGATTGGAAATCGAAATAACAGAATTGAAGTGTATTGGATAGAATCATTGAATGAGTATATTTTAGAGGTATATTTGAGAGGTGGTATATGAATCAAATTGTCTTATTTAATAATTAGCCAAGTAGGTATCAAATTGCATTATTGCACCTATATCAATATTAATTGCACCATTTAATCATTCAACCCCGAATTGAGGCTCTTGTTACATATCGTAGTATACTTGCTTCATTATGTGAGTCTTTTCAAAAAATATACGGAGTATATTATTACTTGCACATCATCATCATCATTATTCATCATCATTATCCCTATGCAACAAAGGCTCTCACATCTTCAGTGTCATAATGGATTCGGATCTACCCGGTCTTACCCCTATACTAAAACATACTTCCTCCGTTCCCTTTTAATTGCAACAGTCAACATTTCACGTTTAATAACGCACAAGTTTGACCATTAATATATTTCATTTCTTATTAGTAAAAAATTCAAAAAATTCATATTTTGAAAATTTAGAATGAGAAGAACTTAATAATATTTTTTTAAAACTTTATTTATAATACATTAATGAATAAAATATAGTCAAAGTAGAATATGTGAATAGTGTAAAAAGTCCAATGTTGCGATTAAAAGAGAACGGAGGATAGTATATACTATTTGCGGATGATTCATAGTGAAAATCGTGTCGAAAATTGCATAGACTGACTGACTGCTGCTTCATAACAAAGAAGCTATTTTACCTTATTACTTGCACGCCATTAAAAAAATCACATTTCTAGCTTCAACACTCCACAAAATTGTTGAGCCTTGCTCGCCAATTGTTTATGCGCGTGCAATGGAAATTATATGAACAAACCATGCAATTGACATGAAACCAACACCTATCATATGGGTTGGTGAGCAAGAAGACAAGTGCCAAAGTCAGCATTAATTAATATTATTTAAAAAAACTAGAACCTTTACCATGATTCACAAAAAAGATTTTTCAAATCTCAATCAAATTAGTAATTGCTAAATTACCACCGCCCTAGGCATCATCTCAGTTGGTAATCTCAGTTGTCCAAGCATATGCAGAGTTTGTAGACATACAAATGAATGCCATGCCAAAAGTGGTGTTAGTATGGCATAATAAATAAAATTTTGAAAAACTTGCAATTCTGAGAGGCTGTAAGGCTCTGTTTGGTTGGAGGATTTTGAATGGAGGGAAGGAAACTCGATGATTTATGTGTGTTTGGTTGGAGGAAGTAGGAAGGAAGGGGAGAAAGGTGGATGACTTTCAAAATCCTCCATTCTCTTAAATTTTAAATCCTCCAAATCGGGTGTTTTGGAGGAAAGATTTGTCAATGTCAAAGTCCTTCCTTCTCCTTCCCTCTCCTAGCCTCCTTGCCTCTTCCCTTCCTTCCCCTCCTCCTTTGAACCAAACATGGGGTAAGGGTTTCACTAAATTGTGAAGAATTTGTAACTAGCCAGTACATGCACGCTGTAGATGCCGAATAAGATATTACTAGTATAGTGTTATCGACTTTGAAGGAACTGTTACTTTTCTTATTTTTGGTCAACATAGATGGAAGAAGAGGATGACAATCAATTGAGTATCATCACAAGTAAATGCTGTTCATTCCCTTATTCAAAGACAAACAAACAAATGGAAAACTCATCTCATATGCAACATCATAAGATCCGGTTGCTCAATAAATTGTTTCCACTCATTGCAGAACTTTGCAACAGTAGCTCCATCAAGTACTCTATGATCAGCTCCTACGTTTACCTAAAATAGAAACGCACAAAATTAGTGATCACTTGAACCGTTTGAAAAGGTGTTTCGTGCTGATTATCAATCATGTGCTTACTGTCAAAACTGAAGCTGGATACACATTTCCATCTTCAGCAAAATGGGGGATTTTTTGAATCCGGCCTATGGCAATGATGGCAACTTCAGGTGCATTGATTAGAGGGGAACCATACTTTCCACCAATTGCTCCAATGTTGCTTAGAGTAGAAGTCCCACCAGATACATCCTCGGGGTCAAGCTTGTTGGCCATTGCCAACTTTTGCAATCTTGAAAGTTCCTTGGTTATCTTCAAAAACAAAGACCTAATATCAGATCAAGCTCAATACCACAATTGAACATCACAAGCACACTGCTACATATAAACAAATGACTCCAATAGGAGTAAAACATGGGCTATGTGCATAATACAGGATAATCTGTTTTCTTTATTACTAAAAACAGGCCTATTCAAGCCTAAAGAGCGAATGCTTTCTTTAAGATAGAATGAGTCCTATTTTGTAAGAAAACACAATTATGGGCTAAGAAATCGCTTCAAATAGGACTAAAACATATCAAAAGTGCACAAATGAGACTAATTATGTTTTAGGAAGAAAACAATGTTGGTCCTATTTGTACATTTTATCCATGTTTTAGTCCTACTCAAGGAATTTTCTCTGATGAGCATATCCTATTTGTAGAATGTGTTACATTAACCTTCTCGGGTTGCTCAGCTGGTCACTGACATCACTATCCACACGAGGGCAACTCGAGGTTTACCAGGTCGTACTATGTTGTTAACTTCAGGGCTTGCGGGATTATTCAGGTCAAAGGTCACGGACAGCCGCTTTATGAAAAGATGTGTTATGTTCTAGTCATATTTATAAAATTCTCTCTTACATACATACATATGTGGGTGAGTGTGGGCATGTGTCTGTCTGAGTGTATCCTACTCTATTACGATCCCACACCGGTCAATTATGGGATTGATTGGTGGCTTATAAGCAAGGTGTTCCCTCCTCCTAATCGGCTGGTCTTTTAAGAGTGAGTTCTACACCTGGGCTTATGGCACCGGTATGGGCTAGGTCCGTAACATACTCCCTACTTTACAGGTAGATCAGAACATAATATATTGTCAGAGGAAATCACAACAGAGGTGCAAAAGTTTATACATTTTTTGCTATTACTAATTTATTTAAAAGGAACAACAAATTTTATGCTTATGAACATATAATATGTAGTATGTCTTATCCAAATGGAGAACTGCAACTACAAATCAAAACAAAATGGTGCAGTTATATATTACGGAATACTTCCTTTTTTCTAGATAATCATTATAGTTTTATTTAGTATAATGGAACCTTTCATGGAATAAGTTTCTTGATAATGATCCTGTCATCCTGGAGATTTTATGTACTACTAACAAGCATTATATTTACTCGGGTAAGATAAACTGACCTCCAAGATTGATAATGACTGCACCTTCTTTATGTTTGGAACAACTAAGCCATGTGGAGTTGCCATTGCAATCCCAATGTTGTGAGATCCTGAATTACACACAAAAAAAGACTGATAAATGAGGAGCACATAAAGTGTGATACCATACAAAAGAATTAACTTGAGTTGGCATGCGTAGCAATATCCTAAATGCTACAACTAATCATAATGTGGAAGTCAGATATCACATTTTCTTTAGCTTTTCCTCGAAGCTTTTCAATGTAAAGTTCCTAATTCAAATACATCATCACCATCTTTAGCATTCTCAAGGGTTCACAGACACTCACTCACTCATTCATATTCGCGTGCACACGCATGTACACACATTCATATATCATAATCACCAAAATAAGAATATCCCTAAAATCATCAAAGGATCATATCGTCACACTTTAAATGTGTTTGTGCACTAGACCCAACACTTCAAATCGTCAGCGGAGACTGTCATGCAACTTGTGAGATTCTCAAACTGATAAAGATCCAGTAAAGCTACAAACCTTTTACAGTGACTTCATAAAGCTCCTCTTTGAAGCAACTATTTAGCATGGGATATTTAGTAAAAGCCATTGAAAGAGACTTCAATAAGAAAGGAAGAAAAGTGTGTTTGACTTCTGGATCAGAGTTTGCCTTCTGGAATGATCTTTTGAGCTCTACAAGTGCATCACAATTTATCTCTTCAATATAATGAAAATGAGGAATTTTTGCAGCCAGGGTCATTGATTTAACCATAGCACGTTGAAATCCCCTGGAAGGTAAAACATCATGAGAAGCTGATTTGTCAAACAAGTTTCATGGTAGTCTAACCATCTTGCATAAGAGAAGATCAAATGCTTATATTGAGCTAAAATAAGAGCTGGGTACATAAAAGAGTCAGTGCTTTGGCAAAATGTACAAGTCTGCACATGTAAAAGACTAAGAGAGAGAGAGAGAGAGAGAGAGAGAGAGAGAGAGATAAAACAGCGAAATGGATTTTAAACACCCACCCAATTTTTAATATACTCTCTGTGAACGATCAAGATAAGAATGATTTCAGAGACAGTCTGTCATTTGCAGTGATACTGCGTACTCCGGTACTGAGATATGAAATCTGAAAGCATGCTATACCTAGCACATTACGCTTTATAGTTACTCAGAGGTGCTAAATTGTGTCTACCAAAGCCATGACTACACAGCATTATAAACTTTGATCATGTTCAATTCTTTGACTATCTTCTGTAATTGAGTGAAAAGCAAAAATAAAAAAGGTAAACAGGAGAGGACTACTATTCCATAATGTGAGTGATTGCTGGTTACTACATTCATAACAAAATTGTTACTATTCCAAAGGGTAAACAACCTTAGGGGAATTGTTGTGTCTTCATAACCCAACCCATGAGAAGCTGAAATGTCAGGGTATGTGATGTCCACACTGTGTAATTGGTCTGCAGGATTTGGGAGTGCTTGTGAATTAACTAAGGTTCCTCTGTGGACCGCTGCATAGTTTAAGACATCCTCTTTAAGTATCCGTCCATCCTTTCCAGTTCCAGGGACAACATTTATATCTACACCATACTGCTTTGCAAGAATACGGACAGCAGGAGTGGATAACACTCCACCAATCCTCGAATTTATAGCAGCAGAACTATGATCATCTATGCTACTTGACACACTATTAATTTCTTTAACATTTTCACAAATGTCTACAGCCTGAGTAGGAGCTGAAATTCTATCCGCAGCAATTTTCAACAGAGTCTCTCCCACCTGCAAAATCACGTGATCGCATATTCTTACGTATTAAGGCACTTTGACTGGAAGTCACAAGCAAAACAAACAATCCCTCTTTCAAAATAGTCACTTTTATTTGTTCTCAAATAGTTGTTTTACACCAAGATTTTACCTATTACATTTTCCCATTCTAAGCTTAATTACTATGGTCTTATCTCCCACCTTACACAACATATACTCAAGCTTTCCGGATTCCCAGCCTAACCTTCACGATGTTCCCGGGAACATGAAGAATGCGAGAAATTGTTCCCTTGTAACGACTTGTTATTTCTATGGTAGCCTTGTCACTCTGAACTTCACAAAGTGGCTGAAATTCTTCAACTTGGTCTCCCTGAAATCATATTAACTGAGTACTCCGTAATAAAAATCTGAATCTTGTGGATGATTCCATCTTCTTTGCACTTCCAATACTAGCCTAACCATAATAGATACAAATATGTGTAAGCATATCAAGTAATCAATCACGGTCGCTACAACTTACCTCCTTAACAAACCATCTTATAAGCTCGCATTCAGCGATCCCTTCACCAGTTTGTGCTAAAGGTACATCCAGTATTCCACCCTCTGGGTCAACAACCTGAGCTTGAGTTGAAAAGCAACAGCCTTTCAGGCCAAATGTAACTTTCAACTGCCAAAAAGAAAATGGATAACAAAAAATCAAATTTTGGTATCAATAGGCGTAATAGCCCCCAAAAATTGGATTTGAATTGTCTGAGTTCTTCCGTCACACATACAAATAGTTGATTCTATTGCCTCGCGAGGTCGAGGTCTCCCGGAAAAAACTGGACTGACCAGAAATGCCATTGAGGAAATTTAATCAAATTAACAAGAAGGCATAGCTATCTTTTTTTTTTTTGAATTGACAAGCAGGCATAGCTATCAACAAAAGAAAAATGAGAAACTCACAGTCGCAAGCCTACTGAAGGAGCTAAACGACGTCGCGGAACATCGAGCGGAGTGGGCTGGAGAGTAACATACGGCAGCTGGAACGATCGTCCATGCTTTCCGCCCACCAGAAGCTACCGGGGACGGTGAAACACTGGTAAGAGAGCAGAACCACCGCCGGTCGGAAGAAGATCGTATCTTTTTCCGACAAATTTGTCGGCAAAGCATCATACAACAGTGAGAGGGGGCGAAGTATTTATCTATCAAGTTTCTTTGAAATGCCTTCCATTACCGTTCGATCGGAAGAAGCGCAGAAGATAAAGATTGATGGAACTTGGCGCAAGGCGTCGTATGTAACGACAGGTAATCGGCCTCGTACAGTTGTCGTACACCAAATCCCAACAGCAAATTAATTTTTATCGTACTTCACATGAAGGGAGTGGGTGAGTGGGTTTTTGGGAGGCGAGGAGTATGGTTACCCTTACCCACCCCATTGTCTCCTCCATACGGAAGCAAAGGAAGAAAGCAGCATTTGGACAGGGAAAAAACTTGACAAAGAAAAATTAAAGAACGGATAAGTAGTTCAATCGGACGGTTCAGATTATTTAGCTACCGTTTGAACTTTGAATGGGGAGAAGAAAACTCCAGCCGCCCAAAGTGAAATTCAACGGTTAAAATATTCGTAAGTAATTTTAATATTAGTCCTCTTAAGTTTTGACACGGGTTCTAAGAAGAAAGTAGTGGGGGTAGTGTAAAAAGTGTAATGAGTAGTGAGTAAATGAAAAAGTAGGAAAGAAAAAGGGGTAATGGTAATAAAAGTTGAGGTATAAAGGTATATTTAGAGTAAAAACTTTCCTTAAATGGAAAGGAGGATAGATAAAAAAAACGTCCCAAAAAGGAAAGAAGGACTAATAAAAATGAACGGAGGGAGTATGTAATTATTTTTTTGGGATGATAATATGTAATTATTCTTCATTTTAATTATAAATATGTAATTATTTTTTAAAATAATTATTTCACACTCACTTGAAAGAACGGTCAAATAAATTAATTTAATTAAATAACAACTTTTTTACACTCGGAAGTGGCACTTAAATTTGAGAAGTATTGAGGGGGGGAAATGAAATTAAAAAATAAATATTTGTAAATGAAATATGTTGAATATATAATATTGACTTTGTTGCATTGCAGCAAAAATCATATTGATAGAGTGAGTATTTTATATTCTTATAAATAGAGCATATGATGTGGGGATGCAAATAGCTTTAGGCCGTGTTTGCAACAATTTAAAAAAAGTTTTTCTCAACTTTTGGCTTAAAAAACATTTATTTATCAAACACTACCAATTTTTATTTTTTCTCAGCTTGTGTGTGAAAAGCGTTTTTCCCTTTTCTATTACACAAAAACACTTATTTTACCAAACACTACCAACTTTTACTTTTCAAAATCACTTTTTTCTCAAACAGTCAAACACTATCAACTTTTACTACTAATCACTTTTTTCTTATATTTCCAAAAGTGCTTTTTTTAAGCAAAAGTAGTTGCAAACACTCCCTTAGAGTAATGAGAGAGTTTCATTTTATACTCCGTGTTGTGGTATATATTGATATGCAATTAATTATGAACTTTCTAGAGTAGTTAAAGAAGAAAAAGAGAGGCATTGATCGAAAATGAACTGATACTTTGGACTTATATTGATCTATAATAATTATGACTCTTCTAGAGTAGTTAGAAGAAGGAATAGAAAGGTATCAATCGAAAATGAATCGATACTTGTTTACACTTGACACATGATGTACGGAGTACTTATATACGAGTAACACTGTAGCGTTGCAAGACAAATCTATAACTAACTAACTAACTACATGATGATTTCATCCTATGATTAATAACTAATTATTTTAAAGTGTTTATATGTACATTCCCTCCTGAAATTAGAGTAAGGTATTTGAAAAGGCCCTAACTTGAAAATGTTTGGTGATGCTTTATTCCTAATGTTTTGGTAAACACTTGAGCAAGTTGAGAACCAAATGAAATGAATTGTGGTTGCAATAGTCCCTCGAGAAATCTTTCCCTTATACGATAGTATAATGATTGAATAGATAAATGTTTAGTTATTATGAAAATAGGATTCTGAGTATAGCAACCATTCTGTCAGAATATATAACGAAACAGGCAATGAAATGTGAACGTGGAACTTTGTTAGTAATCTATCAAGCCAAAAAACTTCACCTCCAATATAACTCATGCTCTTATAATACTCTGTAAGATCTTGCGGTTTGTTTGCTAATTATTTTCTATTTCTACGTTTTCAAAAAATGGGTGGTTTTTCTTGAAAAGAGGATGACTAAACACTCTGAGGGCCTCTAATACCGACCGGACATTTTATAGGATGATGTAACTTGAACTTTGATCACGCTCTGATGGAAAGAGAGTAAGGTTTCATTCAACGTCATTGCTTGGAGTTGAATCGATGACTTCTGTTTTGTGGCACCCTCTTCCTACAGCCCTATAAAGCGAGCTACGCCTCCACCCCCCGCAAGGGGTGGTTTTCTCAAGAAACTACACCGGACATTTTAGCAATCTACATCTCCATTACGACTCGTTATTTATGGATTCATTTTAAATCTTCCGCATTCTTTTCTTATATACAATGCCACTAAAATTGTTATTTATGGATTCATTTTGAACCTACTCGTGAGTCGTGGTTGCCCTATTTAGGTTAAAAAAAAGGAAAGGATAGTCCCCTCACCTCCAACTCTTAAGGGTTTGGATGAGAAAAACAAGCAAATCATCATCATCATTGTTATCATTACCTCAGTGCTGCAAAGGCTGGGAACCTACAGTGGAGTAGGGGGGTCAAATGTACGCAATCTTACCTCTGTACTAAAGCACAGAGAGACTGTTTCTGGATGACCAAATGTGAAAATCGCGTCAAAATTGCATGAATTGTCTGTTACTTCATAACAAAGAAACGCATGCAGTTTAGTGAGTCATTTTGATTTATTCCATCATATTTCCAAGTCAAAAATAGTGAATTGTTGGCTCAATTGCAAATGATGGATGTACTAAAGCAAGCAAATGTGATAGAAAATTGACATGTGATCAAGGTCATCAAGCTAAGCGGCAACAATAGCCACCACTGCACAAGTTCTTTTTACATTTATAAAGACGCAGAAACTAGGATGGAAACCATCCAATGAAGTTCCATTACTGAAATCACAAATCAAATTATTTATACATTAACTTCCAGATAAATGCTTTGCACTTTAGTTGAGCAATAAATAATACATTCGACGGGCAAGCTGTTGCACCAATGTTGTTATCTTCGTTGCAGTATCTTCCCAGTCAATATCATAACCAAGCTCAACCAGACTTGAATAGAAGTACAGCTTTTGTATCCAAGTAGAAGTAGACAAAGTGGTTTGTTTCATGTGTTACATAAGACCCTGGAGGGAAGAAAAACAAAAAAAAAAATATAGTGATATCCCATTTGATGTCCGATAATTTCATTATCAATCACAGGGGAGAGGCAAAATATAATGAAGTTGAGCTGAGAAGGGAGAATTAGATTGTCACGCTATGGTCTTATGGTGAGACATATTTCCAATTTGCAGCAAGTGACTATTACAAACGGAAACAAAGAATGATTCACTTTTACAAGAGCCCTTCTGCCCTCTTATCTAAGCAATCACTTCCACAAAGCCTCATTATGAAATCTTGTATGAAGTGAATACACTTAAACTTCCCCTTAAAGAATAACGTCAATGGCCTTGGCCCTTGATCTTGTCAATTGAGCTCTCCAAACTAAGAATGATACAGCCTTCCAAAGGAAAAGAAAGAAGCACAATAAACCAGGGCAGCAATGAATTCTAATATTGCTTTCCTACATGTTGAAGCAACTATAATGGACAATGTCTAGGTCAAATTGATGCATGGCCGCACATGCAACATGCATATGAGGAAAGTAAACAAAACAATACATCACCACCTTCAAACAAAATATCTTGTCAAATATTTATTCAGACTAGTATATTTGAATAAACGTCATATAGCTATACATAAATCAACAGCCCAGATAAAATCTAAAGCAAGCAAGATATAATACATGTCACATGCTGACATGCCTCAGAGCTTGAAGCCTGCACAATCCCTGCATTAGGTGAAGAACCATGCCCTTGCAGAAAACGTCTAAATAGAGTCTTTGTGTTTTTGTCTTAAATATGTATTTGAATATAAAAAATTCTGAAGGACTGCACCAATGACATGATAAACTTCTTCCTAGACACTCCGCCTACATGCCACACCAATTTTTTTCCAACAATATTTGCTTACGCCTGAAGGCCAGCTAGCCGGAACTCTAGATCAATGGTCTTTATAACTAATCATAGCTTTACTGTCTTTTTAAAAAATACTCTCAACAAGGTGATAAACATGTTTGACTCTTAACGTGGAAGGCAGCTTTGCCGATTCAAATGGCATTTCACAAGCAATTACTATATTACTTGTGTGTGCTAATACGGATTGAAACGGATTTTGGATACTAAGCTAATAACGACTTTCAACAAATTTTTCTCCATAAGATTAAAGTAAATCTGCGGGTTTGTTATTTGAACTTGCATTTGAAATGTTGTTCTCCACTTATGTTGGTCAAGTGTTTGAAATTGGCTTCAAGAGCAATGTTGTCAAATGGCAGCCATGGCAGTGACAAGGCAGAATGGCATGAAGGATATTGTTCCAGCCAGCAATGATTTTTTTTAGTCTATAGTGACACTATATGGCATAACTATGGCCATTTGTCGTTGTCCAATATTAATACTCCGTACTAGTTTAGAAGCAAGCATTCAAGGATTATTCATTCAACTGTTAAAGCATGCTAATTGGCCATATTTGGCTTATTGTATTTAAGTCATTCATTAATAATTAATTAAAGTCACTAAATCCCAAATTATTTTAACCTAAAGCCTGTTATAACTAAATAACTATAAGCTCTTTTTCTCACACCATGTAGCACTTGACACAACACAACAGCCATGACATTGGTAGCTCCTGTTTTCATTCTTCACCTATTTGACTAGTGCAGATACAACAGCATTAGCAGCCTCTCTCTCTCTAAGCGTTACTGCTTTAATCACTGTCAGCATTCTTGTTTTTCTTCAGACAGCCCTATTTTGCCCGCTTATTGTTTTTCAAAATTCTAGCCAGCTCTTCAAAATGGTAAAGAGTTCAAAAAGGCGTTGTTAACACACTGTTAAATGTAGTGAAGCAGGACGAGAGTTGGAAAAAGTAGAAGGAACCTGCTTACAGTTGGAATTGGAGTAGAAATTGCACATGGACCTATAAGTAATGATGATATAAAAACAAGCTTGAGGCCTTGAGCATGTGTTGTTTTATTTTAGCCTAAGCCCTCTCAATGTTTTTTAACATTAGATACTTCGCACTAGAGCAGGAGGTGTTTTACTTGTGCGCTTAATTTAAATTTTGGTTGTGGTTTACAATTTATGAGAGTATAATATTGTGTATAGTATTGGGAGTGGCCTCTTGTCAAATTTGACAGGGGAAGGCTTGCCCCTTATACACCCTTGTGGTGGGACCCTTCCCCTGACCCTTGCCTTGCGGGGAGGCCTTTGTACACTGTGCTGCCCTTCTTTGTGTGTGTTCATAATTGATACCCCTCATCATTAACATTTAAGGGACATAAAGTTTGAGACTTATGCCTCTAATCACCTTGACAGTTACATACATCTCACCTCACATACAGAGAGTAGTACTTTAATCCTTTGACCTGACTTTTTAAACATTGAGAGGAATTAGTTAGGAAAACATAGTCTGGAAAACCATAAATTCATTTCTTTTCAAAAACGGAAAAAAATTGCATCAGGACTTAAATTATTGGATAAGTTAGATATAAAACAACTTAGATAGATAGAGCAAGCCACTACTTATTTATGGGGATACATATAAAGAGAATGAGGGAACCATGGGTAGTGATCACTTTGTACAACCAATAGAGGTTAAGAGTTCAATCCATAACTGTTATGAATCCATATGTAATTGGCCCGTGAAAATTAATAGAGCTTTATCAGTTTTGCATTAGGAATTACTATATGAGAGCTACATGTTTCTGATATGTGAGCTAGGCTAACCACCGTGTTTTAAGATCTGAAGATCACTATAACCATGCATACATCTACCGGTACATGCATCAGGGCTAAAACTCTTATGCGTTGAAAACGGGACCACATAGATTTAAAGAATATTGGATCCCCCAACGGTTTGAGATCCACTTTGTTTCCTAAACTATAACATATTAATAATTGGGGGATAAGTTCTGATGGGAAAAACAACTGCATAATAGTCTCTTTTCTGCACTCATTCTGTATTGTACAGAAGAAATGAAAACTATAAATACAAAAGGGAAATTCAATTAATGGGATAGGATGGCCTGGTAGATTACCAAAATTTTTGCCAACAATGCAATGCCAGGTCGGGCCATGGTTTTTGTCGAACTCCTTTTTAATATGCTCAGCTACATCTTTCTCCACGGTGTGCAGCTCGAACGCCTATAGATTCACTCATATGCACATATAGACGTAAGAATAATAAATAACCAAAGAGTGTAAGAAAACAATAATGGGCTAGAGAAACAGCTAATTACTGCAATAGCGATATTGACGGCCTCTTTCTGCATATCTTCCTTCATATCAGCACTTTTGATTATGAGCTTCTTACCCTTGGAAAGGGGGGCTGCAGGAGGTGAAACAGATTCGCGGTCGGCGGCGGGCGGCCTCGCCACAAGAGCTCCGCCATCTTTACTCTTGGAAACCTCGCTCATTTTGTAGAGCAAAAGCAAGCAGATCTCGGAGACAGAGATGCGGAGGAGCCGCGGAGGTGTGGTGGCGGTGTGTGGATTGGTTTAAATTTTAAGGCCGTAGGGGCCGCCGGGCAGGGCGTGATCGTAGTAAGCTACCTGAATAAACCTGAGCATTGGGGACTGTTTTCCATTGCCACTAGGAAAGCTAAAGTGGTTATATGGAATGGAAGAGAAAAGGTAAAAAAAATTGAGTATTAGGATCAAGATGTTTTCATTTAGGTTCAAATTTGCTAGCTTGGTCTGATCTGATTTGTTTTGATCTGGTCTAGTAAATGTCTATTTTCTGTGTATATTATAACTATAGAAGTTTGGTCTGATCTAGTCTGATCTGGTCTGGTCTAGAACTGAAAACAATTCAAAAATAACATCTTAATTCCTCCTTTTTAATAGGAGTTTTTTCCTATTATAATGCTAGATAAAAAAAAAAATACTACGTATTTACTAAAATAGTGTAAGTTTAAAAATATCAAAAATGTTATAAACACCCCAATTACTACCCCACTTTGTATCCCATATAAAAATCTTCCCAAATTTTACCCCCACCTCCCTTTTCCTAACTCTAACCCCCCCCCCCCCCCCCCTCTTTCCTTCTTTTCTTCTTTTCTCTATGCCATACTCCTCTTATTTCCCATCTTCTTCTTGCCTTTTTTTTGTTTCTTCCTACTAGTCAATCGACCCGTGCGTTGCACGGATAAACAAAGAACTTTTTTAATGTATAATCATGTTTAATAAATAGAAAACGTTGGAATGAAATAAATCATAACCAATACATGTACTTAGGATAAACATACGTGCAATGTTTATTTGTTAAAAAAACCGTTAATATTAATACTGAAAAAAACGGTGAATGAAAATATTACCAAACATTTTTAACCATTTAACCCAATAATAAATACCCATTCAATGTAATACATGCATATCGAATATCAATCCTTTCTACCTTATACAGATTAACCGCTCGGAATGAGCGTATATTTGCCACTAAAGATTTTTCTGAATGTTCTTTCTCTTCGTAATACTTCTCTCAAAGTCAAAGTTTCGCAAATGATCAACTCTATGACCTTGACACTAATAAGTTACTTCACATCACTAATAAGTTACATCAAAACAAATAGAAGAATGGGTGAAAAGGGGAACCGTTCAACAAATTGAACACCATAGTTCATTGAACATTAATGAAAAGGTTTTTTTAATCAATAAAAAGGTTAGAAATTGTAGCAGCTAAAATAGGCGATACTTTATGAGGTATTAAAATTTATTAATGCTCATATATGTGAGATTAATAATCATGTATGTAAATTAAGGGGGTGTTTGGATCTGATTCTCAAAACTGATTCTGCTCCTTTAGGGAGCAGAAGCAGAAGCTGGAGTGTTTGGGTAAAATTCCAGAAGCACTAATTACTCCCAGAATAAGTTTTTTTTAGAAGCTGGGGGGTACCAGCTTCTGAAAACTGATTCTGATTCTGCTTCTTCTTTAAAAAAGAAGCATAAGCAGAATCAGTTCCAAACACCCCCTAAAACTACATTAATATTATTCTTTTTGTACCTAATTACTTCTTATACTGTTTTACTTAATATCTATATTTTAATTATTTTTTATACCAATTAACTTCAATGAAATTGATGTAGTTACCGTAGAAACCATTTTAGGTATTTTATCTTATACTACCTCCGTCCGAAAAGGATTGCTATATATTGATTTTTTTTGTCAATGAAGAAAACATGCTAACTCATTTAACTCATTCAATTGATTGGATTATCACAAAGAGGGGTCCTTGTTCTTTTTGGGGTACTATCTTTGCAGTGATTTCAATTTGAATCGGTAGTTTATACGGAGTATATCTTACCTTATAAGATAGTATATACATACATAAATTAACAAATTTGATGCGGATATTTTTAGAAACAAATTTAATGACCACTGTTAGATGTAATTTTGGCATCATTGAGAATTTTTCTTACCGTGTACGTACTACTCCCTCCGTAACAAAAAATATCTTCCCACTTTCCTTGTTTATCCGTAACAAAAAAATCTTCTCATTTCTCAATCTTTCCATCATACTCTCAATAATTTTAAAATAATACACTATTACAATTATTATTATTTTTGGATTTATTCTTCATACCACCACATTATTCCATTATTTTCCCATCATACCCTCAATAATTCATATTCTCTTTCACTATTCTTAATCTACCTACTTTTGAAGTGGAAAGATTTTAAAGTTACGGAGGGAGTAATTTATTTAGAAATAAAATATTAACATTTATAAAATAATTTTGCCCTGTAAATCTGTAATACACACGTTTTTTTTGGGACGACATGTTTTGTTATTACTAATTATCATTTTTATACAAAATCATTTAGACAATAATTTTATTATTATATTTGTATCAGATTTATACATTTTATATTTTATGAAAATATTTTTAATAGAAATTGAATATTTTACACCCAAAAATGATTATGTATAAAAAAAATATAACTTTCAAATGATTTTGTATTAAAACATACCCACCACAACTTTTACTTTTCAACCACTTCATTAATAACTATTCCAAGTCAAACTAAGACACATAAAATGAGACGGGGTAGTATATTTTATTTACCATATTTATCCATAAATTTAAGAAGCTTAAATTTCTATTTTCACCGTACGAAGCTTAACTTTCCAAAAAAAAATTAAAAGGAAAACTCAATTAATGTGCAACATATTATATTTTATTTATCATATTTATATACTTATTCTCAATAAAATTTACGGAACTTAAATTTGTTTTACCTTACGAAGCTTAACTTTCCAAGGAAAGCTTAAAGGAAAACTTGATTAATCATACGTTACAGGAGCATATATATATTAGTTATATATGTGATGAACATATGGGTTTGTAATTAATACTTAAGCATTTCATTAATACTTCTCCAACAAAATTTCACTTCTTTGGGCGGCAAAATATGTTTCTACCTGAAATCCCACCTTGTTATCTTTATATATATAAAGATTCTATAAAATTGATAAATATGGTGGGAGGAAACATAGCCATATCAAGTAGAGCGTCTCTCGTCTTCAGCTATTCCCTCTTCCATCGTTTTTTTTCATGTCAAGGGGAAACAATGAAGAAGGTGCAGATCAAGAAGTTTTGAATCGCTTGAGTAGATCTCCGTTTTTTAATTTTGTTTTCTAGATTATGTTTTCTTGATTTTTTTGGTGTGTTTTTTAATAGAAAAGGGTTGACTGTCTGACAGACAACTTGTAATTGCAGTGTTTGTATACTCAAACGTGGTTTCATAGTTGGTGGAACCCTGAACTGAAATGTCTATCAGAGACAGACAACTAATTTGTTTGTCTGCATAGAACTATTGTCTGTATTTACTTGCAAGTATGGTACAACTGTATTTTGTAGCACATTTTGATGAGTTTAGTAATTGTTAATGTAGTTATATAAAAGTGTTCAGACATATGGTTGTATTTGTTAATTTACAGATGAATTTGGTGAAAACAAAACATGTATACTATTGTCTGTGTGGACAGACAAAATGATGTCTTGTGTTTTGTATTATTTTGGACATGTATAATCATTTGGAATAACATATGAAATGAAAGAAAATAGTTGTGTTAAAGGCCCCGATGTTGGTATGAAGAAACCCATTTTTTGAAAAGTGAACATTAATTTCCCGTACTAATGCAATTTCTGAATAATAAGAGGTTGGATTGAAACATTAGTTTGTTGTGAATTACCATTGTTGATATTAAGTATACACATGTAGGCAATAAGTATACGCATACAAACATTAGTTTGTTGTGAACTACCATTTTTGGCACATGTTTCGCAAAAAAAAAACAGAAAATACATATATGTAGACAGACAATAGAATAACCAGACAAATACTATTTTTACACAGAGAGACAATAAGTTTACACATACAGACAATAAGTATACACATACATACATTAGTTTGTTGTGAATTACCATTTTTGGCACGTATTTCATAAAAAAGCCAGACAATACATATATTCAGACATACACTAGAATAACCAGACAAACATTATTTTTACACAAAGAGACAATAAGTTTACACATATAGACAATACGATACCCAACAGACAAAAAATCGACATACATAACTGGATAATTGTACATGTAATGTTTACAAAAACTTACAAATGTTCAAAAAAACAATCCAATTTTTCAACATTGTACAATATTCGACACATTTCCCCAACTGTAATACATAATGTTTGTAAAAACAAGATACACATTCAAAAAATCATAAGTTCAAAACCGACACATTTCCGCATACTCTATGCTTCAGCCTTCTTCAAGCGCCAAAACTCAATAGCAAATTCAAGTCTTTTGTTCGGCATGCTGGTGTAGTCATAGTCAGGAAGCAATAACTTCCCCACTAGCAGCTGCTCTGCAAATGATAGGACCATGACACCACATTCTCCGTATCTGTAAACAGACAAACAAAGCACAAACAGACATTTAAAACACTTAACACAAACAATAAATGTAATGCAAAAAAATATTGAGTTTAATACAATGCTTGTTGTTGAGTTTAATCCAACACGATATAGTAAATATATGTATAAATGTGTACGAACAACTCAGTTTTTACGTGGAAACCCGAAAGGGAGAAAACCACGGGACTTTTTAGGCTAATGTCCAAGCCCTCTCAATTCTCATTAGGACTCTCCTCACCATTACATTGTACAAGCTCCCATTCATGGGGTATTTGAGCTAAGTCTAAAAGAAAGGAGGAAGGAGAGCTAAAAAGGGATCCCTAATATGGAGGGAAACTCCCATATTTATAGAGAATAGGGGAAGGGGATGCTCTCCACCCTAATGGGCCGGAGTGGGCCCAAATGGCTAAACTGGGCCGGATGGGCCGAAAAGGGCCTAGCTGCTCGGGCTCCGTACTGAATAATGTCTTGGACTCCTGAACAGTAATAGGCCGGGATAATATATCCTAACACTTGTTATTGAAGCACACTCTCTACTGCTTGAACTTCCCATGGTTGTACAACACTTGCACGAAGCAGGTAGGGCAGCTGTACACAAATCCCTAACATAAGACGGACTCCTACAAGTCTTCATAGAGTCATAAACTTTAAAATGACAGAAAACTTCACAACTCTACTCTTCACAACAACATGAAAAACAAGTCATTACAG